CGATGTCCAAATTTGTCATATAATATTATATGTAATTTGTCATATTTTCTTTTTAAAGTAAAGAAGAGAACAAAGTCCACTTGACAACCTGGAAAATTATATCTAGGTGGAAGAAAGAAATTTCAAAGACTGAAATAATATTTCTAATAAAAAATCTCAAATTTAAACTTTGAATATGAATTCACCATTGATCGAAATTTTTTTATACCTTAACACAAAATTTCTTACCACCAATTCAAATTAATTAAGCTTTTAAAATTAATAACACACAGAACATCAGATTTTAAAAAAAAAAAAACTCAAGTTGTAAACGTTATAGTTTTGTACAGCTATGTCCAGACCCCACCATGATAGGTGGTACAATATCCCGCGTGGGTCCCACAAAACACATGGCCATGTCAGCAAATTCCTTATAACCCATCTTTTCACTTTTTCTTTTTTTTTTTTTTAGGAAGAGGACCCTCAACAAACACCCTTCTAATTTTTCTCCATTTTTTCGTTTTCATCGTTTTAATTTATTTATCTGATTTTAATTTTGATATAAATTATAAGAAAGTGAGAAAAATTTCTAAGAACTATGCTTGATACCTAACAATATATAAAATGTATTATTTATGTCGCGTAAAAAGTTGTTAAAAAGGATAAAAGTTATTTCTATTTAAAAGATTATTTTAAAAAAAAATATTAAAACATTTATGTTTTTATTTTAGTATATATTAGTGAATAGAAAGAAAATCCCTATCAATTGTAGCTGTTCACATGGTTTTGTAACCGAAAGAATGAACCATATTTCTAGATAGCCATTTTTAGGTTTCTTCCAAAGATCAACTCTCTTTGTGTTACTTTCATTTGTTTTCATCTCATCAATCACCATCAATTATAGTTTGTTCATCATGTATATATATTTATTATATTTATAGTTTATATTTTATATCTTATAATTTATAAAATAAGTGTGTATGCAAAGAAAAAGAAGAGGAAATGGATGAGAATTGAGATCAACTTCTTAAGTCTCTATCCCCATTTCTTGTAAACTTCTAAACACATTTTTTTTTTCTTTTGGAAACTTTTGATAAAAGCTATGGGAATGGAAATAACTTTTCTTGTTCGGTATCAAAACTAAAATAGTAATATCTCTTTTAGATTCTATTAATATGATGTGTTGCGTAAGATTTATTAAAATAAAAAAAATTATAATGACTTGAACTTATAATATTTGATTAATGAAGCAGTTCTGTTTTCTAGTTTGAAAATTATAATCCATTGTAGTAGTTGAAATATTCAGCTATTGCAAAATATTCACCCTGTTATCTAAAAAAAATTCTTAACTAAATTATAAAATAAATAAAATCAAATGATTTAAGACGAAGATTACGAAAGACGATATTTTATTGTTCTTTAATCTATTATATCCTCAATCAATTACTTTGAAAAAGTTAGAACTTTTATGAAAATATTAAACTTTTTATTCATCGACTTCATAATTAATAGGGAAAAATGAAAAACTCACTATATCAATTGTTGATTCTTACTAGCTGTATCAATTTAAAAATTAAACAGGGACAAAAACAATAATTTCTTACCTAAGTTAACAAGAGAGACACCACTAATTACCCTTTTAGCATCTAAGCATGTTACTTCCATATAGCTCCTACCAAATCATCACCTACATCTTGACTCTTAATTAAACTTGTAAAATTTTAGAGTGTAGCCTTGATTGGACATCATTATAATTAAGACACAATTACCAATAAAATTATTCTCTTTAATATGATCAAATAACACTCCATGTTCAATATGTATCATTTTTTGTTAGTTTTCTCCATCATCATTTCCTACATAAATTAGCAAAAGAGACGACCACACTAATTACCTTTCATCAATATCCAAGCATGAGCTTTTGCCCACTAGCTCCTGCCTATTCATCATCAATGTATACACTTAATTAACTAGTATCGAGTATATAATAATATTACTAATTCATATACAACGAGGGTATGGTATATATCTCTTATAATTTTACTATATATCTCTTATAATTTCACCATTTTCGTTTTAATTTCAACTTTAACATGAACTATAGAAACTAATAAAATAAGTTCTATTTATGATTCAAGTTTTTTGCAATAGCTATAATTTTTTGCTATAACATTTACAAAAGAATCATTGCCATGTGTAAAATTAAATTGTTAATAAGATACTTTCTACTACCATGCAATTATAATAATTTGTGTTAGTCTAGACATGATTAAAGAGAGATATTTGTAGGCGTGTTTGGCGATGATTAAATATCTACTGATTCTACTAATAAATTTCGTTAATTAAATTAAATGCAATTGGAGAGTTGACGTTATGATCTTATTGGTAGGATTAACCCTTAATTCCTTTGCTAGATAACACAAATCACATGCTCAATCATCATGTCCTTTTGCTTTATTAAAAATTAATTAAGCCTTGAAAGTAAGAGCTTATACTTACAAATTAATGGACAGATTAGATTAAAGAATCCCTTGGCCGGTTAGATGTCTTTTATTGTTAGTAATAAAATAATAAATAAATATTTCTAATTTTCTTAATTATATTTATCTTATTATCTGTTTGCCTTCTGGATTCAAAATTATATAGTTGGCTTCGTGTTGTCTAAGATTGATAAAATAATTTTTTTTATCTTAAAACTTACCTAATTTTCGCCAACCAAACAGGTAACAATACATATAATATTAGTATGGTGGTAAAATAGTAACACCAAATTATGTTAAGTAATTTAATGAGTGAAAATGTATATTAATTATGATTAAGTGCTAAAATCTTATATTCAAATTATATCAATATAATACATGTCATACATTATTTGAATTGATTTAGTGTGATCGAGTGTTGATAATTTTTACTTTAATATTATCAAATGCAAAGGTTCATATACACACAAATCCAAAAATAATCATAGTATTCTTAAAAAGAAAAAGAAATATTTATCTTTTAGACGAGGACAAAAGGTTGAATATTCTAGAATATTTTACTAATATGATGCCATTTTTCATTCATTTCCAACCAAGTAAATGACACATTTTTTTTCTTCTGAAATTTCATAGTAGAATATTTAGCCAAAATTTTAGCAATTTTTGGTCAACCAGAATGTTGTGACAAAATTAGTGACTTAAATGGGGGAAATATTTTTGAGATATCTTCATGATTGACACGATGTATTTCAATATTCTAAATATATCTCAAGATTTTAAATTCAATTCATATAAACTTTAGAACAAATTAAGTACGAAGAAGTCAATATTCCTTGAACCATTGCACAATTTCATAATCTTTTATTGAGTAATGATGGAAATAAGGAAAAGTCTTTCCAAATATTTTTAAAGAGCTCTAGAAATATTGTTAGGATAACAAACAAAAAATATTTTGATCGAGCATATTGTACATAATAATTCACTCATTCACAATGCATAAAAGAATTGAAAAAGTCATTTCATTTTGACAAGAAACCTACACCCAAGTTTTATAACTTTTGATTCGCTATTTCAATCATGATTTTTCTACCCCCAAGAGGAAAGTATGTAATTCCCTTTTGGGGCATGCGTGGTCGAGGAGGGATTTAAAGCCTCAACATAGTAGTTCATAGATACGTGCTCTAATCCTCTAAGCTACAGGGCCCACCCTGTTTTTAATGGATCTCTTCTTAATAACAATCTAAGAAAAATAAAATATTTCCTCTCCTAGTCATTTCTGATTAAGAATTAGATGTGAAAGCACTTTTATTATCTCTATAAGTCTATAAAAAGGATGTGTTTAAGGTATCAGTAAAAAAGAAGGAATGTCATAATATTTTACTCGTGCGTTAAATTAAATAATTCAATCAAACACTCACATCTTATTTTCGTTATAAAATATTTGAAACAAAGCCAATAATGCGTGTGGGCCGGACATATACAAAAAAAAAATCTAATTTATTAGTGTCAATATTTTACTTTAGTTAGGAAATATAATTAAAGGTTGCAGAAAACCCCAAAAAGTTTAACAACAATGAAAACGTTATTCTTTTAGGCAACTTTCACTAACAAACACATATTTCATATTTGTAGTTATAATAAAGTTTGCATAATTGTGCTCCATAGCAAATATATATATGTACAATTCAATATATATATATATATATATATATATATATATATATACACACACACACACACACACAATCGAAGCGAATTTTATAAAACGATAAAGAGAGAAATTATATACAATTTCAATTTGTATAAAACGAGAAAGAGAGAAAGACAAAAAATTTGGGCAGAAAAATATTTGTATTGTATAATTATAAGTGTATAGGACGATTATATACAATTTGAATTTATATAAAACGAGAAAGAGAGAAAGGCAAAAGAGACTTGGGCAGAGAATATACAATTAAATTGAATTGTATAAAACGAGAAAAAGAAAAATTATATACAATTTGAATTTATATAAAACGAGAAAGACAAAAGAGACTTGAACAGAGGAATACTTTTATTGTATAATTATAAGTGTATAAGACAAAAATATATGTATTTGTATGTATATATACAATTTTTTCTCGCTTTATAAAATTAGAAACACAATTTATACAATTCTATTGAATAAAGCGAGAGAGACGAGAGACTGGAAGCGAGCGAGAGGAGAGTGGCGAACGAGAATATGAGAGAGAGGAACTGTCAAACAGTTTGTTATGAAACACAAGTAAATCAAACGATAACTACCGTATTTATTTTATATTAGTAAGTTATCATTGTATACAATTATCACTATTCTTTTATTCCATTTTGCTAAAAATATTAGAACAATATCATTAATTGTATTTTTCAAAAAATACAATTTGATATAATAAATTTCCATATTAAAAACAACATTTTTTTAAAAAAATTCCTTTATTAGCTGTTTATGTAGACATTTTACATCATCAAATTGCAGTTTCTTTCTTTCTTTTAAAGTATTTTGTATTATAACAAAAAAACGAAATGTCAGAATCGGAGCCTTTGCCCGAAATTTACCTTTTTTTCTCCTCGCGTTTCCTTTCTCTTTCTCTCTCTAGATTTTTCTTCTTCCCCCAATCAAATCATTCTCTCTCACTAGGGTTTCGTTTTCAACATTCGGATCCAGCTCATAACTCAACCAAATTCATTTGCTTTTTCATACTTCAATTCTTCTTCAATGCTTACAATTTCTCTGTATATTTTCTCCAATTAATCTGTAAGTCTCTCTAGGGTTTTCAATCTTCTTCCTTTTTTTTTTGAGATTTTTGTAGTGCATTATTGTGTTTAGTGATTTATCTGTGTTGCATTATCGTTAAATTGTGAGGAATAGGGTTTCCAGATCAGCGTGGATAACGAGTGATTGTGTTCTCATGTTTTTGGAAATTGGGGAATTAGGATTTGCAGAATGTCGGAACAGGGAGTGAAAGAATGAGTGAGGCGGAGATTACGAAGATGAAGCAAAATGCAACTTCGGTGTCTCTAGGGACACTTATTGGTCGGGAGTTGAGGAATGATAAAGTGGAACAGCCTACAATAAAGTATGGACAGGCTGCTTTGGCAAAGAAAGGGGAAGACTGTTTCTTGATTAAGCCTGATTGTCAGAGGATTCCGGGAAATCCGTTGACTTCATTTTCAGTTTTCGCGGTAATTTAATCATATATGTTGAAATGAATCTGTTGATTGCTTGTGGTATATCTGTATTGTTGGTTTTCTTGTATCAATTTCCCGAATTTTGTTTTTTCTTGATTAGATTTTTGATGGGCATAATGGTATATCGGCTGCTATTTTTGCCAAAGAGAATCTATTAAACAATGTATTGAGTGCTATCCCTGAAGGAATTAGTAGGGAAGAGTGGCTTCAAGCACTTCCTCGTGCTTTAGTTGCGGGATTTGTGAAGACTGATATAGAGTTTCAGCAAAAAGGCATGCTGCAAGATCTCTGGCTTTAATATTTATTTTGCTTCAAGGGGTCTCTTTCCCTTGCCTTCATTCATTCAGGTGTGCTCAGTACAATTTTGATATTGGTGACAGGTGAAACATCTGGGACTACCGTGACTTTTGTTGTGATCGATGGGTGGACGATCACTGTTGCATCAGTTGGAGATTCCAGGTGCATACTGGACACCCAAGGAGGTGTGATTTCTTTGTTGACTGTTGACCATCGATTAGAAGAGAATGAGGAGGAACGGCAGCGTGTAACTGCAAGTGGTGGTCAAGTAGGAAGACTCAATGTTTTTGGGGGTAATGAGGTATAATCATATCAAAAATTTGAAATTGCTAACAGCTTTGGAAAAGATATCCTGATGTTCCTATTCACTTCTTTTATAGGTTGGACCTCTGCGTTGCTGGCCTGGTGGGTTGTGCCTTTCAAGGTCTATTGGTGATACGGATGTTGGGGAGTTTATCGTTCCAGTACCGCATGTGAAACAAGTGAAGGTTTGTTACCTTTATCACCAAGAGTTTCCCTTTTGTCTTGTAGCAAGTTTCATGTATGAATCTGAACTGTAAGTAAATATGTAATTAGATTTCAAATGCTGGTGGGAGGCTTATTATAGCGTCGGATGGTATATGGGATGCTTTAACATCGGATTTGGCAGCACAGTCTTGCAGAGGTTTACCGGCAGAACTTGCGGCAAAGCTGGTTGTGAAGGTGTGAATGATCATATAATCTCTTTCATTCTATTATTTCTTATCTGTGAGGTTTTCTCTAACTATAAGCGGTTTTACAACTCAGGAAGCAGTAAGGTCAAGAGGTCTGAAGGATGATACAACCTGTTTGGTTGTTGATATTATTCCTTATGACCATCCTATCTTGCCTCCAACACCTAGGAAGAAGCAAAATTTGCTCACCTCTTTTCTCTTCAGGAGGAGATCACAAAATGCTAGGTCTAATAAGCTTTCTGCGGTTGGTGTCGTGGAAGAATTGTTTGAAGAGGGCTCTGCAATGCTTGCTGAGAGGTACTGTGTTTTCCCAATTTTGTTGTCATTGTTAGTATTTCCACTACTCGAGATATGTTCTATTTAGTTCCTGAATGTGGTTTGCATTAGGTAGGTTGGCCTGTCTGTTTTATCCTGGAAAGGGAAGAATTATTACTTATCCTAGAACAACAGCTACTTATAACTGGTACTTACAAAACCAAATGAAGAAGTTCTCATTACACTCTGTTCAGCAGTCTTTGGTTGCTGAAAGTGTCCTAGTTGGATGGACACTGTATGCCTTATCTGTTCTTTCAATATCTATTGGTTCTACCATATCTTGGTTTTGAGCATTTCAGTTCTTCTGGTTATAAATTTTTTGTTATATGACAAATATAATTTATGCGATGATTTTACTAAAATTTCAGATGGACTACCTGCTTTACTTGCTCTTTGATTTTTTTCAAATAGTTTCACTAAAGAATTGTGATTGGAAGGTTAATTTAAAGGAATATTTTATTAGTAATAGTGACAAAATATTGATTAAGTAGTAGAAAACGTTGTTTGTCATGGTAAACTTTAAATTACTTATATTAAACTATTTAAGTTAATTCTAGATATTAAAACTTGCCAGGAATGATAACATTTTGACACTTATCGAAGTAGTTACTTCTTGTCGAATGATTATATCAATAGTAAAAGTTAGTGATACATCAGCACCTTTTACTTTTCTCTATTTTTGCTTTACTGTTGGAGATGCCTGAGAATTTTGTGGAGCTACACATGGTTTGACAAATCCAAGCATGCTTATGTTATTGGTTTTCCAATCGCACTATCTCTTTTGATCTTGTCTGTTACCTTTGTCAACAAAAAAACTGTCTTCATCTTGTCGAATAATTACTGGATGGCTTCATCCTGGTTATGAAAACTGTGCTTAAAAAATCACAGTACTTCAGAATCATAGATGATAGCTACACACTTGTCTTTGAGCATATACTGGAGCATCTTGATAGGCAGCAACTAATCTATAGTCCTTTAGTAATACACTGAGGCACATAGGTTATGCTGTATTGTACAAGGAAATAACTTTTGTTTTGGGGTATGAGTTAACTGTTACTGTTGGACTGGGATAATTTTAGAATGTCAATGTTGGTAGCATGAAATGAAAATCTACAGAGATATGTTGAGGCTGTAGAAAAGGCTAACCTTGAACAGGAATTGATTCCAATAACATTAAAAACCCAAAAAAAAAAGGAAGAAGAATTGGAGCAGCTACTTTACTTTGACAGTGCTAGATATTGATAGTAATTTTAACCTTAAATTCTACTTTGACGAGAAGATGCTGCAGTTGAGTTGCTTGGTATGGTTTTGTGCAGACATATAGTAACTCAATTCCAATATTCTAGTTGGATTACATGTAAGTCTAAGCTTAATTAATGATATATTTCAGTTGTTTCTGTCTACCAGGCATAGTATTTATGTTAATCAAACAGTTAATGTAAAACCCGAGAAGATTTTCTTTTGCATTGTGGTTAGTGTTGCTGAATATAGATTACACAAAATGGAAAGGGATGGAAGCACTAATACAAAATTAAAATGCATTTTTACAGTACACAGATGGTTACAGACCATTAATTTTGTGTTTATCAGATGTTCACCTTTAGACATTTTAGCTGCTGCAGTGAGGCCTTACTTTTCCTGATCCTGCAGGCTTGGTAAAGATTTTCCTCTGGATTCTAGCTCTGGGCTGTTTAGATGTGCTGTTTGCCAAGCAGATCAGCCTGCAAGTGAGGGTTTATCTGTTAACTCAGGGCCTTTCTTTTCACCTTCATCAAAGCCATGGGAAGGGCCATTCCTTTGTGCAACTTGTCGGAGGAAGAAGGATGCGATGGAAGGAAAAAGACCAAGTAGACCTATAATAACTGCTTAATGTGGTAACCTTAGTAAGTAAGTATATGCTGATATATTTTTTTGCCTGGCGTGGGAACATGCTTGGTTCTCAATCTGCAGTGGTTATATTTCTGTAGATGTTTTGAGAAGAGTAATGTTTGTGCTGATTATTGTACTTACTGACAAAGAAGAGCATATGATTGTGTTGATTTTATTACTAACAGCTTGAATGTAAGTAAAGGAATGATGCTTGTGAAAATATTGTTTAGTAAAAGTGTCCCTCATTTGTGATTCATCGATTGTCAAAGTTGTTGTGCAGCTTTAATCATCAGTTTCCATTACACTTGCTGAAATCATCGTATTTGCTGGGAGGTTAGCCTTTCATGGAATGGGTTAAAGGCAAAATGCTGAGCATAGGTTAAACCTCAAATGCAATAAGGGTTTGATTGGTTCCTTATCAGCTTAATTAGTTAATTGAAAAAGTATCAATATATCTTATTCTTAATTTCGTCTAACAATATCCTCCTCCTCACTAGCTATAAAAATGTTACATATAATAAATATAAGTAATAAAAATGTATTATATCACATCTCAATATAAAGTAAATAGCATACTAAATATTAAATACAAACATGTTATGTAGCTAAGAATCAAATATATCGATTTCTCTTACAATTTCGTATCTCACAATAATATGGTAAAAATACATAATTTTAACGTATTATTTGTTATATTATTTATATATAGAAATTATTTATAGGCAAAAAAATTGTTTCACATTTTTGAGAATTTAATCAACAAAAAATTAACTATTTTTAATTTTATTTTAAAACATTCGTACGATTAATTTCTTTTGACAAATTAAAAAATAAATAAATAAAAATTATGTGTCCCTTTTAAAAATTATTTTTAATTAATTTTTTCTTAATAAATTTCTCTCCTATAATATAAAATAAGAGAAAGTATATATTATTCAAAATAATAGTAATTACTAAAAATAATGTATTTTAGTAGATGCATATTTAGAGACTTTTAATTAATTTGAAATTTCTAAAATAAGGTAAAAAGAAAATATGTCATAATAAAATTAAACCATAAAAATGGTGGAGGATTTTACTTAAACATAGTTTTGTTTATTTAAAAAATATGTAACTTTTTTTTTTACTTTCTCTTATTTTTATATATTTATTTTAGGGATAATGTCCAAGTACCCCCTCAACCTATGCTCGAAATCCCAGAGACACATTTATACTATACTAAGGTCCTATTACCCCCTTGAACTTATTTTATATGTAATTTTCTACCCCTTTTTAGCTTACGTGGCACTATCTTGTGGGCCCAACGATGGTTAACTTTTTTTTTCGAACTAGTTCCACGTAGGCTAAAAAGGGGTAGAAAATTACATATAAAATAAGTTCAGGGGGGTAATAGGACCTTAGTATAATATAAGTGTGTCTCTGGGATTTTGGGCATAGGTTGAGGGGGTACTTGAGTATTTTCCCTTTATTTTAATTTAATTTTTATCATAAACTTACAGCTCTTCATCTTTCATAACCTCTATATTCAATTAATACTCATGAGTAATACCTATAACTTCCAACTTTATACCTTCATAATCCCCAATTACTTAATGTTTAAATTTGTGACATCTTAAAAGCACATCAAAAAAATATTTCTTGTCAAATATATTTATGTTTAGCTTAATTGTCCTCTACTTTATTCTTGTAATGCAAAACCCATCGACAAAGATTGCTTTGTATAATTATTTTTACTTCTGATAAGAATGATACAAAATAAGATATATAAAAGAGAATAATTAATTTTTTTGCATGAAATTATAAGAACAAGATCATCAATAAAAGTCAGACTAAAAAAAATTCTTGAAAACATTAAAATGTATTTGTAGATACACCTAGCGACGGAAGATAATCAAATTACTATGAAGTTATTTTAAAATTTTCAATAAAATATGAATCATAAAAAAATAATAAAAATCAATTAAGAGAATTCATTCTAAACATTTTGCATAAATTAATAAAAAGCTAAAGACAAGCTAGCTTGATTATGTTAAAATACGATGCTAATTGTTACTGTTTTAAAAAAAATATAAATTAGTAAAATACTAAAGATGAGCAAACTTGATTCTCTTAATTATGATGCTAATTGTTAGTGTTTTCTTAATGAAATTAAATAAGCAAAGACTAAAAAACTGAAATATATAATAAGTAAAAAGGGTGACTAAAAAAATAGAGTTGAAATAAATTTTTTAAAAAACGTAGAATTATAGAAGAGAATTTATCAAGAAAAAAATTAATACAGAGAATTCTTTCAAAAATACTTATTGTTTAACCATTCATCCTTCATTATAATGATTCTAATAATTTACATATTTTTTCTCATACACTTTAATTATAGGAAAATATTATTTATCGTTAATGATTGTAAATATTCATATTATTTGTGAATAATTTTTTTTTATATTTAACTTATTAGGAAAAAATTCAAGAGTCTAATTATAAGTTTTTATTAGATATTATAGGATTTTTTTAATCTTAACATAAAACCTTTTATTATTCATTTATAATTGTTCATTTATTATTTATTTTATTATGTATTTTAACAACAATATATTATTTTTATGTTAATTCTATATCACTAAAAATCATTTAACCGATCTAAAATCATGTATCACCCGTTTCCTTCCAAAGAATCAGTATATAGAGAGAAACTTTAAATTTTAACATACAAATATTGAAGTACTTTTTTTAGTCTTCAAATTATAGGTAGCTTATCTATTACGAATAATTTTTCATAATTCTAAGACTGTTTTTGGATTTGTTATTATTTTAATTCTTTTGATATTTTATAAAAAATTCAAAAGACTAAAAATCTCACTAAATTTTTAACAAAATATCAAAGTTGACCATATTTAATTTTGAGAACTCATTTAAATGGATAATAAAGTCATAAATTCTTAATTATATATTATAACTAACATAAGAGAATAGGTACTATTCAACAAAAAAAAAGTATAAATATTTGACTGTACTGTTCATTTAAGGATATTTATTTTTTTGATAAAATCAATTCATGAGTTGAGTTGAAATTACAAATCTAAATGATAAAATTTATTAGTTAATCTATTTGAATTTGAAAATTAAAAAAAATTAAAACTTTTATATACTGTGCGTAGCGCGGCTAAATTTACTAGTTTTAAATAAAATTTTAGAAAGAAACTGAGTTGATTTAGTTGGCTAATTTAATGATTAAATAATTGATAAAATAATCTCTCAATCAATCATTTTTAAAGTCGAGCCAAGCAAGTAACGAAAACGCATAGAAGATATATATATATATATATATATATAGAGAGAGAGAGAGAGAGAGAGAGAGAGAGAGAGAGAGAGAAAGAGAGAGAGAGAGAGATTTAGTATCAGTTAAGCGAAATTATCAGTCTTAATGATATCGATTTAGCATCACTTAAGCGAACATAATCACCCTTAATGAATGGGGGTATGGACTGTAATTATTTATGAGAGAATGAGTATTTCAGAAATTACTTTCGATTTTAATATGAAATTATAATTATTTTAAATATTATGGTTCGTAGTTTTTTAACCATCTTGATGTGGCCCAAAAGACTTTGGGCTGAAGGGGTATATTTGCCCAGATTTATTCTTAATTCTTATGGACCAGTTCTTTTGATAGAGCTGTTGGGCCTAAACCATGATGATTTGAGGTCAATGAGTGAATTGGAATTACAAAATTAGTCTGTAAAAATATGATTTGAGGTCATTGAGAAACCTAATATATTTTGATCCCTTTAATTTAACTCCTATAAAGTTTGCTTGTTTTGGATCAACTGTGTATATCTCAAATACAAGATTTGTTAAAATATAAAATTTTTAAGATGATTTAGCTAAATTATAAGAAAACAAATCGAGAAATTATAACTTCAAAACTTGGGGTTAAGATATGACCTGTTTAGCTTATCTTGATTCCGTACATCTCAATTTAAATAAACTTTTGAACATATTAATACTTGTCCATTTATAATGTCTTATAACAAATGCAGGTCAAAAAATTGTTTTAGATTCCAAGTTCTACCCTTATCAGAATTTTTAGTTCCGCCACTAACGAGAAAGCAGTAGTCATTATCTCCTAACAAATTATTTCTGGCCAATGTAGCTTGCCCATTTTATTTATGTTTTTTTCTTCTTCTTTTCTCTAAACATATAAATAAATTATGTTTTGACTATTTATAATAATATAATATAGCCACGCAGAGCACAACAATTGGTCAAATGAAAAAATAAAACCTAGGCCAGAGCACGATTTTCCTCCTACAAACAACCCTTCCAAGTCTTTCTAATAACTAAATCATTTAATTTGACTTTTGAAGATTGCAAATATTTCTACAAGGATTTTCTCAGCATTTAACATAAATTATTCCCCTCTAACTGCCATTTATAATGTTAAGAAAATTAATTAATCAAATTTCCCAAATAATGAACACTTCCCCTGCTTATTTCATAATTTTGTATGATAAACATGACTTTATGCTGGGTCTATTTTTATAGTTGTGTTGACCACAAATAAAAAAAATTGTTCGTGCTGAGCGCCAAATTTTTTAGTTTATTAAGAAAAAATTGAGAGTGAAAAAACAACAAATAGAAAAAAGTGGGCCTAAGATAAGATTGGAAAAATGAAATACTACAATTAAATTCACAGTGGATGTGCATCGAGTAAATCTGCTCTTGGAGTTATAATTTGCAAATTATTTAAAATTAAATAAGAGATATAAATCGTATATGTGAATGAAAGATCAGATGTGCTTTTACATATATTTTTTTAATGAAAAAAAGTTGATAAAAAGTTAATTTAATTCACTTTTGTTAGAGGAAAAGGGTACATGTAAGCTATTTGTATAACAATAGGAATATATATGAATATTTTTTTTAACGAGAAATATAGCAGCTCTAAATGACGAAATTGAGGAACATATCACACTCTATTCATTATTTTAAATTAGTACTTTTAAAAGTTATATTAGACGCAAATTCATTTTTTAACCATGATATCATAATTAGGCTCATGTAATTTTAGACTCATTTAAACCCTTTTTGACACCACTTAATTCTTTCACTGGTTATTTAATTATAATAGTTTCAAGATAATGAACGAAATGATCATTTATTTTCAATATGATCTTGAACGATCTTTATATTGAACAAACTTTTATTTAAGATCTACCAATGTCATTTTCGTATTAATATATCACAAGAATAACCTTTAGAATTAGTTAATAATCTTAGAATTCTTCATAAATTATTAATTTTGGCAAAAATAGTAATCCACTTTTTCTTTTTTTCCCAATTTCTCAATAGAACTCTGTGTTTTGACTTTGTTTAAATTGCCAAAGGGCACAACCTTGCCTCTGAAAAATTAAAACAAATAACTCTCTACTTCATCAAAGGTCCTTTTTTTTTCCTTCAAATTTGTCAGCCATGCTCTTTCATTTATTTATTTTAAATAAAAAAAAAAAGAGAAACAAGAAGTCCATATGCAATAAGTCAAATTAGTTTATATTAAAAATGGAAAAATATGAGTTGACTTGAAGGAGCAAATCTTTGAAAGATTTTGTGTAGCAGTCAGATGAATTATGTGGTGAATATATAACAATTAATGCACCGCCGGATGTTTCGATACTCTCCATAAGGAGCTTCCCTAGTTGTTACCTTAACTTCTTTATAGGATAAACATATTTTGGGTGATATTCCATATTATTTTTTATCGTCCGTTTACAAAATGTTATATATCAATAACTTAAATGAGAATTTTATAAGAAAGTAGGGTACATGTTAAAATTATAATAAAAAAATTGAGTAAATAAATAATTGAATAAAATTATTAGATAATAAGCAAATATAAAATGAGATAACAATATTATTATATCAAATCAATTATCACATAACATGAAACATAACGATATAATATAATAAAATTAAAATAATAATTAATACAAATATTATTTTTAAACGAATAATACAATATAAAAATATCCCTTAACATAAAAATTGAAGAAAATCAAATAATGACTTTTATAAATTGACTATAATAAAAAAAATTACTTTTATAACTATAGTAGACTATAGTAATCCCCTTGGTACATATTAAGTGTAAGTAAATTATTGAGACACATTCTTTTAAAAATAAATCAAGGGTAAACTTAAAAAGTTATTTTCAAACGATTATTTTAGAAAATGTAACGTAGTTAATCACTAAATAAATGGAAAAAAATTCAAAAAAATAGAGTTATTTAAATTAGGGAAAATAGTCAAATATGCCCCTGTACTTTTCGAAAAGGTTTAAATATGCCCCCCGTTTAAAGTTTGGTCCATTTATACCCTCGCCGTCCAATTATTGGTACAAATATGCCCTTATGGGCGTTAGTTGGCCACCTCAAAATTTCCAACGCATTTTATTTTTTATTAATTACCCAAATGGATTTTCCACGTAATTTTTATATTACAGCGTGGCATTTATATTACAAAAGAGAAAGGGTCAAATATGCCCCTAAAAATCCGACCCATTAAACTTACCCATATTTTAAGGTTCAATTATACCCTTTTATTACCCTTTTATTACCCGTATCCGACCCAAAACCCATATCCCTTTTCCCCAAATTTTATTACCCTTTTATTACCCGTATCCGACCCAAAACCCATATTCCTTTTCCCCCAAAACAAATCCCTAATTTCCTAAACTTCCTTTTCCCCCAAGAACACAAATCGCGGTGCATTAGGGTTCTTGAAGACTTGCAGAAATTGCGGCGGCGCTAGGGTGTTCATTTTGAGGAGCTCGAATAAAAGAGTGTTCTAGTCATCTCCAATCATCTTCTTACACTTTCTCCTTTAAAAATGAGTCGGGACTCGACTGTTTCAAGTCTGTCGATGGTAAAATGTCAATGTGGTATTGTGGCAAAGATTTTCACGGCTTTCACTCCAACTAATGCTGGAAGACGCTTTTATAAGTGTGCTAATCCTAATGTAAATTTATCATACAATTTCGTTAATTTTCATATTTTTTGAGAGTATTGATTTTAAGTTCATAATTGTACAGGGTTATAAATGTTCTTATTGGAAATGGGTTGATGATCCGCTCCATCCTAGAGTTGAAAATCTAATCCACAATTTAAAGAAGGAAAACGATTATCTTCATCGTGAAAACAAAAGTTTGGAGACGAAGATGGCTGATCTTGAAAAGTATTTGGCATCTGAAATTGAAGAAAAATGTGAACGTCTAAATGAAGAGGTTGTTATCGATAATGAAGATGTTGTTATCGATAAGTTTAAGACAAAAGTTGATCAAATATGGATTGTGATAGTTATGTTGTGGTGTTGTTTTGCAGCATTCATCACATTCTGGGTAATGAAGTAGGAAGGAAAATAGGAATTTCTATTAGTTTGTAATCTTTAACTTTTTCATTCTTAACTTAGAAAACGTTAAACATGTGTGATGTGTTGAATTGTAGTAGTTGATGACTTGAATTGTAGTAGTTCATGACTTGAATTGTAGCAGACATTTTGATTTATATGGTATGTTAAGTTCGATGTCACCATTTCTTGCTTTTCTTTTTGGTGATGGCATAATTGTGTTTTATGAAACACAGGAAGTTTAGGGGGCATATTTAAACCTTTAAACGCAGGGCATATTTAAACCTTTAAATGGGGGGCATATTTAAACATTTAAACGGGGCATATTTAAACCTTTAAACGGGGGCATATTTAAACCTTTTCGAAAAGTTTAGGGGCACATCAATTGTGTTAGTTGACTATATGGTTCTGTACATATTGAGTTATTTCTATGTGTTTTGATGTAAACCTTAGGCAAATAAAACACACTCAAAAGAAGACGTCTTAAATTCACAATGACAAGACAAACCACAACAAAAAAAGGTGTCTGTGATGCCATTCTATGAAGGCATATGAAAGTTTCCCCTAACTTAATACTCATTAGCAATATTGTTAACCATGAGCATTAACACAAATTAACATAGAAAATAAATTACAATAAATCATCATCTACAACAGGATTTCTGCCCTTAACCCCCATCATCTTGATTCTTTTCTTTTTTGCTTGCATTTGCACATGTCCAGCAGGGACAACTTCTTTTCCCTTTCATGTTGTTTTGATCGGAGAATAAGGTAGATTAGTTGGCACTGAGGCACCAGTGTGATCTCCATAAAACTGAATTTTTCTTGCACCAGTTGGAACAACCCTTTTTTTCAACTTCTCAGCCCTCAATTCCGATTCACAAATCACCATTGGTCTTAGAGGTGGGTCTTCTTCATCTTCAACATTAGGACCATATGGTTCAAACTCTTGTGTTACAGCCTCAGCCCCAGTTTCAGCTTCAATTCCACCCTCAACATCAGAACCATGTTCATTGTTAGACATTGGCCTTTTGCCTTTCTTCGAATGTGCATTATTTTCAGCACACTTTTCCTGTAAATTTTTTTGTATTTAGATTAATTAGCTTACAATTAAAAACATGGAAAAACATGTAATATTGTGCTTACCTTGTAACAGGACTTGACATTGTGATTTGATTCACCACAGTTGTTACATGTCATTTGAGTGCCTTTTCTAGACTGAGACCATTCACCCTTTCTTTTTCTTGCTTCATCTGGTTCTCTATTCCTTTTCATTTTTGGTCTACCCAATTGTTTCACAACATTAGGAGGCAACATTGCACTTGAAGGATCAACCTTCCAAAACTTTTGACCTCTTACAGGCTGCATCTTGTTTTTATATGTAAGCATGTAAGCCTCCTTGCTATACCACCAATGTATTTCAGTTATTGGATTTACTTTTTTGTGTGTCAATGCTTTGATGGCATGCTGGCAGGGAATACCTGATAAATCCCAAATTCTGCAAGTGCATCTCTTTTCCTTTAGATTGACAGTGTGTCTATCTTCTCCATCAGACACTTCATAGCCCCAATCTCCATTGAACTCCACCTTACAAGTGTGTGCTAATGCCCTGTAGTCGATGTACAACTTCATGCATTCCGGACTGAAATCTGTAACCCAAGTCTTCAACTTCTTTTCATTATTCACTAGCAATCTCATCACTTGTACTCTTATTTCTTCTAACATCTTGATCATTGGCTTGGCTTCATGTTCTTACACTGAGTATCAAAATAAACTCTACACCATGCCTTTGGTGGATACTTTACCAAATTTCTTGCACCATCTTCTGATAGTTTCCCCAACTTATTTAATTGGTCCTTCAACTCTTCAACATAGGAACTCCAAGCACACCACCACATCAGCTTTCTCATTTGACCACTCCTCCATTTTCTGCACCAGTTACTCTCAATGTGTCTCACACAATACCTATGTTGAGCTTCAGGCAACACTTTGACAACAGCATCTATCAGTCCCTGTAACAGTGAAAGTTGAGAATAACTAAGTGTTAAAAACAGAAGTACAATGAGTACAAGTTGAGTAAAAACAGTTGGTACATTATGTTAAAGAGTGTGTAAAAACAGTGAGTAAATTTGTGAATGAAAGTGAATTAAAAACAGCATCATACCTTTTGCATATCCGAAATGAATGTGACTTCTGCACCATCTTTAAGGTCCAAAGACCCCTTCAATAACTCAATAAACCAGCACCATGTGTTGCTTGTTTCTTTGTCCACTATTGCCCATGCTAGTGGATAGAAACTGTTCATAGAATCTTGTCCTAGAGCAACCAACAGAATACCCTTACATATACCTTTCAAAAATGTACCATCAAGTCCAATAAATGGCCTCAAACCAGATTTCCACCCTTTCTTAAGAGCATCAAAACAGATGTACATCCTTAAAAATTTTCTTTTTCCTTCAGCCAGGGCATCCTTAGAGATATTTATCAAAACATCACTTCTGGGATTGGATTGCTTAAGCTCTTGTGCATAGTCCTCAAGCTTGTTGTAGTCATCAATAAAACTTCCATCCAACTTCTCAAGAGCCATCCTCTTAGCCCTTTTAAGTTTAGACTGACACACATTCAATTTTAAGTCATTTTCAAGCTCTCCTCTCATATCTTTTACCTTATACTTGGGATTATTTTGAAGCTTGTTCTTGAAGTATTGAGCTAAAGTAACTGCATCAGCTCTAGCATTAAAAAAGGTCTCCTCACATGTGTGCTTATTGATGAAAGTCTTTATCTTAAACCCTTCAGTTTTGCCATCTTTTGAATCAAACACCTAAAGGGACATCCTATATCACAACCATACCTAGTTCTCTTTGTATCACCTTTTATTATAGTCAAAGCCCTTTTGTTAGCTAATGCATAATAATTCATAACCTGTCTACCTTCTTTCATGTCTTTAAATGTCATACCAACTTGCAATTCTTTGAAGCTTTCCAACCTGTCACCTACTACTCTTCCCCTTTCATTGCTAATAGCATCCATCCACTCTAAATCACATTCCTCACCCTCAGAAAGATCCCATTCATCAACAGAACCAGGACTGTGTTCACAATCTGTACCAACCTCAACATCTACACAACATGATTCAACATATTGTGTGATATTTTGGGCAACGACAGTGAACTCACCCTCCTCCACAACAAAGAAGTTGACGACTTTAAATTTCTCACATAGAAGGCTAAGGATGACCCTAATTCCATCATCCCCATCTACTATGTAATACTTTTCAGAGGGCCCAGTGACTAATAATTGTTTAACTCGAAAAAACCCTAGCTTGGAAGTAAACTCATCACATATATTTTTATGACTCAATAATTCAGGGTCAAAATTTAGCCAAGAGTGCACCAATTTCTTAGTGTAAGCCAACAGAGGTGAAA